TAATGGAGATACCTTCAGGTTTAACTACAACACTATTCATAGGAAGTGATAAAACAAACTTGCCTCCAGGGCCTGTTTTATGGTAAAGAAATTTGGGAACGATTCAAGGCTAGTCGTGGAGAAGAGCAAGAGGATATTCATTGCAAGTTGATGAAAAATTATCCAGGTTTATTGATATTAATATTAAAACCTTTTTTTTTTCTATTATCAATTTCGAGAAATGGGCCAAATATTGATGTATTATATACACACATATATATACGTATTTTTTAATAGAAATACCAAATTATTGGTACGCATTAATTTTCATTATCACGTTAACAATTGCAATGATTCTCTGCTATACAACCGATGCAAATTTACCTTGGTGGGGGTTATTAATGGCGATTTCTTTAGCCATAGGCATGGTACTTCCCATAGGTGCGTGTAAAAGATAATTATATATATATATATATATATATATATATATATTGTTTTATATATCTAGGTACACTATACGTATAACATACGTTCTAAATTTCTGATACTTAGGCGTTATTCAAGCTATTTCGAATAATCAGATTGGTTTAAATGTGCTAACCGAAATGGTGTGTGGTTATGTTTTACCTGGTCGACCAATTGCCAATGTATATTTTAAATGTTATGGATATATGGCAATGTATCAATGTTTGCTACTTGTTTCGGATTTGAAATTGGGTATGTGGTTTTCTAAATTTATTAAATTGTTTCAATTAAACTTTATTTAAAACAATATTTTTCATTATGAAAAGGTCATTATATGAAAATCCCTCCAAGGAGTATGTTCACAGCCCAATTATGGGGTACAATTCTTGGTGGATTTGTAAATTATTGGGTGCTGAATCTCATAATTGAAACAAAAAGGCCTTTTCTTGATGGCACATTGACTGATCCAACTGGTCAAGTACGTCTATTTTAATTATCTTGTTGATTAATCTCAGAAATTTATTCTTAATAATTTTTGCATAAACAGTGGACAGGATATCAATCCCAAATATTCAACACTGCATCTATAGTATGGGGATTGATTGGACCTGCAAGGACTTTTGGAGTATGTCAATTTAAACAAAGACTCTTTTTTCTTTATTTACATGTCAATTTAATACATCTTTATTTTCAACAGCACGATACAATGTACAACATACTTCTTTGGGGTTTTCTTATTGGTGTTTTTGTGCCAATACCATTTTATCTACTTCATCGAAAATTCCCAAAGGCTAGATTTGATCTCGTGAATATACCATTAATATGCTATGGATTAAGTGTACTTCCCGGAACTTATACAAATTTTATAATATCCGGATTTTTGGCTAGTTTTTTAAGTCAGTATTACGCGTATCGGTACAAGACTCGGTAAGCTTAAGATCGACTACATTATCACATAGCTTACATAGTTTGGAAAATAATTAATAATAACACATATATATTTTTCTTTATTTTGTAGGTGGTGGGAAAAGTACGTTTAAACATTAAAGGTTTAATTATAATGTGAAATGATACTGATTCGCTATTCCTATGCCATTTATGCATTATAGGTATAACTATGTATTGTCGGCAGCATTTGATAGTGCTGCACAAATTGCGACAATGGCTATTTTCTTTTTTCTCAATGGTGTTGTTAAGGTAAGTCGATCATCCAATATAAAACTTTTTTATCACAGCTGCAGTTTCATACGTATTTTCACATATGATTTATTGTCTTTAGGCGCCGTTTCCGGAGTGGT